TTAATGTAATATGTGTTGCAGCTGTTATATCAACTTTGTAATTCTGGAATTATTTTAGCAATTATCCAAAATATCTATTAAAATTTTCTAAGATTTTACTAAGATTTTTGCATCTATGTTCATAATTAAGAATCTCCTAAATTTTCTTATGTTATCTTGCTTTTTATTTTTATTTATTTATTTTGCTTTCTATTTTTATTTATTTATTTATTTTTATCCTCACCCAAGGACATTTTTCCATTTTTTGTTCAGACAGAGTGGGAGGGGAGAGAGAGAGAGAAACATCCATGTGAAAGGGACACAACAAGTGGTTGCCACCCACAGGACTCAACCAGGGCTGGAGACAAATTGCAACCCAGGTACGTGCCCTTAGTGGGAACCAAACCCGGGTCTCTGGACCACAGGCTGACACTCCAACCACTGAGCCAAACTGGCTAGGGCGCTTTTTATTTTATTTTATTTTTTTTTAATGAGAACTGCATCAGTTCAGCAAATGAACTGGGTATCTTACTATCATTTTCTATACTTTAGGAGAATTATGGAAACAATTTCTTTGACAGTTTAGAAAAGTCTCAGGAAAACCATCACAAACAAATGACATTTTAATTGATTATTTTTGACAATTTGTGGATTAATTCTCATAACCAGTCTTGACATATTCTCTCTGAAATGTCAGTTTTGTAATATTACATCTTTATAAGAAGCCAGACATTTTGATACTAGTAATCAAATTTTTAGCATCAAGCTGTCAGATAACTCTTTCCAAAATTAAATTGGTTTACTTTATATATCTTCTATTCTACAATAAATTTTCTGATTTATATTTTTATTATTGAGCTGACACTTTTTAATCTATAAGAACCAATTAATAGTTTCATATATTTTTCAATTTTTTGTCATTCATGCTTGGTTTTCTTATTCCATTTTGATTTCATTTGTTTTATTTCTAAATTCTAACCACAAATCCCTTTAAAAAAGAAAAAAATGTATTTCTATTCTTACCCCTAATACAGAAATTTAAAGCATAATTTTTTTCTGTATATTACTACTTTGGTATCATCACATAAATTTTCCTGCATAGAATTTGAATTTTCATTAGTTTAAAAATATTATCCCAACATATCCTCTACAAACCAGATTTATTTAAATAAGTAATTTTTTTGTTTCTATCTTTGCTCACCATTTAATTCTATGTCACCTATCTATTTCTGTAAGAAACAAACAAATTATATTTATATTTCAGTCTGTTCTCACTTTTCTGCTTACTTTTCTTTCATGTAGTTTGGCATTATAGTCTTTAAAATGACTAAATTCGATACTACTAGGTTTTGATTATTTAATGTAAATTTTATCTTTACATTAAATTTTATTTACCATTAACATTTTGACTGTGAAATTTATTTTATCAGGTATAATGTAAGCAATCACTGCTTCTTCATATGTGTTCCAGCATGAAAGACCATACCTTTATTTCAATTTGTTTTTCATCTTAAGTAGTTTTTAATTGATTATTTTAGAGAGAGGGGAAGAGAGAGAGAAAGAAACAGACTGATTTGTTGTTCCACTTATTTATGCATTCATTGGTTGATTATTGTATGTGCCCTGACTGGGGATGGAACCTGCGACCTTGGCATATCCGGACAACACTCTAACTATCTGAGCTACCCAGCCAGGGCTTACGTATTTCTTTGCTATTTAAACACTTAGATGGTTGGACTTTTGCTTTCCAAATTGGAGACCATTTTTTAAAACCAGTCCTTGGATTTTCTAAGTAGATAATCCTACCATATAATAATAATGATTTTGTTTCTTCATGGCCAATAGTTACACTTATTTTTAATTTCTGCCCTAGGCATGGCCACCAGCAAAATGTTGAATAGAAACAGTGATAATAATATCCTCAGATATTACTTCAAATGGTTTACTTTTTAAAAATTTCAATATATATATTTTTAAGATTTTTAATTGATTTTTAGAGAGAGGGGAAGGGAGAAGAAGAGGGGGAGAGAGAGAGAAACATCCATGAGAGGGGGAAGCATCAATAGACTGTCTCCTGCATGCAACCTACTGAGGATCGAATGTGCCCTGACTGGGAATCAAACCAGCAACCCTTCAGTGCACAGGACCATGCCCAACCAACTGAGCTATACCAGCCAGGGCTTATCTCTGAACTTTTTATTGGCTTCCTGCCCCTGCCACGGATGCCCCACTTCTGCTGCCTTTAACGCCTCAGAACTTTGGTGTCGTTGACCTCAGACACCACTTTGATGTCCACAATCCTGTAGTGGTGGTCTTTTGGATGGACTATATGGAGTGGCTGTTGTCCAAGACTGAAGTCCTCCCCTTCTTCCAGCAGGCAGTACAGGTGGCAATCTCAGCCTCCAGCTTGACCTTGATATTCAGTAGGGCCTTGTACTCCTGGGTCTGGCGATGCCCCTCTGCCCGGGTCTGGACTATCTCTGACTCCACGGGATCCTGTTGAGCTATTCCATCTGTATGGCATAGCACGTCTCCACCTCCCTCAAGCTGTTTTCCAAGCTGGCCTTCAAATTTCTCATTAAGTCCAGTTCAATCTCCAAGGACGAACAGTTGAGAACGTATGTCTCAACTCTGTGTAATCTTAGCAGCTCCTATCCCAGTGGTCTCTGAGGTGACCACTGTGGTTCTCTCCTCAATCTGCTGGGACCAGTACTTGTTGAGCTCCTCTCAGTTCTTCCAATCCAGCTCATCATACTGGGCATGGACGTCTGCCTTGATCTTACTGGGGTGCTGAGATTTGGGGGCATCCAACTCCATGGTCAACCCAGAGTTGGCCATCTGGTTTTGTAGACCATTTACTTCCTCCTCGTAGTTCTTCTTCTTAAAGAGCAGCTCCTCCTTTTTTTTTTATCCTCACCCAAGGACATTTTTCCATTTTTTGTTCAGACAGAGTGGGAGGAAGAGCGTGGAAGAGAGAGAGAGAGAAACTGACGTGAAAGGGCCACATCGAGTGGCTGCCACCCGCACGACCAACCAGGGCCGAGGACAAACTGCAACCGAGGTACGTGCCCATAACGGGAACCGAACCCGGGTCTCTCTGGACCGCAGGCCGACAAGAGCAGCTCCTCCTTGAGACCCTCATTCTCTGTCTCCAGCTGCAGATGGGTAATATTGGTGTCATCAGTGACCTTTCAGAGCCCACTGATGTCACTCGCCACAGACTGGTGCATGGCCAGCACCCTCTCATACTTGTTGCTGAAGTCATCAGCAGCAAGACCCACACTGTCAATCTGTAGAACGATGTGGGCATTGTCCCCAGAACTTGCAAAGATCTGAGCACTCAGGTCCTCAATCATCTTGAAATAATACCCCCAGTCTCTGACTTAGGGTCCCTTCTTCTCCAGGTGTTCCCAGATTTTGCTCTCCAGTCTCCAATTATCAGCCTCCAGGCTTCTCACTCTCTCCAGGTAGGAGGCCAGATGGTCATTCAGGCTTTGCATAGTTTCCTTCTCATTCTGAATAGCCCTCTATGCCCACCAGACCCCTGGCCATCCCTGCAGTCAGCCACCTAAGCCCCCAGCTGCCCCACATACTACTGGAATGGGACACGGATATCTGGGAGCCCAAGCCCTTAGCACCTGCATAGATACTGGCCGTACTGCTGGCTGGCTGGTCCCAGTGGCTTGGCGACTGCACAGAGCCCAGAACAACTACTGCACTACTCTCCATTAGTTTGTGGAGAGCTGCTATGGGTGCTGAAGCTCATGTTGTTCAAGGAGGAAAGCAAGAAGCCGAGACTCGGGTTCAAGCAGTCAATATTTACTCTTAATATGACTTTTGCTGGAAGTTGCAACCCTTCTTTTTAAGTTAAATTGAGCATGTTTAAATTCAATAACTTGCCCTGGCCGGTTTGGTTCAGCGGTTAGAGCGTCGACCTGTGGTCCTGAGAGACCCGGGTTCAGTTTCCGCTAAGGGCGCATACCTCGGTTGCAGTTTGTCCCCGGCCCTGGTCGGTCGTGTGGTGGCAGCCACTCGATGTGTTCCTTTCACATCGATGTTTCTCTCTCTCTCTCTGTTCCTCTCTCTCCCTCCCACTCTACCTGAACAAAAAAAAAAAAAAATGAGAAAATGTCCTCAGGTGAGGATAAAAAAAAAAAAAAAATTCAATAACTGTAATAAAGGCTTATAGAATAAATGCATAAGTGATTTCCTTCACACCTCATTTGTGTTTTTTTAACCTTAAGTTAACATATATATGTACAATGAGGGATAAATGTAATCTGATATGATTAGTTAATTTGATGATAATATGATATGAATTATAAATTACTCATTTTTTTCTTCCAGTGAAAACTTAATTTTTAAAAAATTATGTTTTTATTGCCCTGGCCGGTTTGGCTCAGCGGTTAGAGCATTGGCCTGCGGTCCGGAGAGACCCGGGTTTGGTTCCCGCTAAGGGCACGTACCTCGGTTGCAGTTTGTCCCTGGCCCTGGTTGGTTGTGTGGGTGTCAGCCACTCGATGTGTCCCTTTCACGTCGATGTTTCTCTCTCTCTCTTTCTCTCTCTCCCTCCCACTCTATCTGAACAAAAAATGAAAAGATGTCCTCGGGTGAGGATAAAAAAAATATATATGTTTTTATTGATTTTTTTCTTTAGAGAGAGAGGAAGGGAGAGGGAGATAGAGAAACATCAATGGGATGGCTCCTGCACACCCCATACTGGGGATTAAGCCCCCAACCCCGACATGTGCCCTGACTAGGAATTGAACCGGACCTTTAGTACATGGGATGAGGCTCAACAAACTGTGCCACATCAGCCGGGAAAAACTTCCATTTTCTTATGTCAACTTTCTCCCAATCCCTTAGTAAATTAAGAACTGAACTGGAACAGGAGAGAGTTCCATTTTAAATCAAAACAAAGTAAAGATATTCAGACTTAACTATAGACAATGGTAATGCCATTTAACAAGATGAATTCCACAAATATAGGTAAATATCTACAAACACAAGGTTTCCCCCATGGTACAATCTTACACTACAATCACTCACAGTAATTCAACTGCCTTCACATTTGATAAATGTCATACAAGTGAATTTGCTGATTACTAGCGGTATTACAAAATGAACACAAGGCCACATAATCAAGAATCACAACAACAAAGAAACCCTAGGAATGCAGGTCAAGGCAGGAGTTTGCAGCTGGGCAGATATGATGAAATTTGCCTAATTTCATTTAGATGTTTGCTATAATAAATAAAATAAATATCCCCTGAGTTACTAGAAAAGTAAACAGGTGTTACCTATCACCATTCTGTGACCAGGAAATTAAAATATTTCCTGAATTTATGATTAAAAGAAAAAATTCTTTAAAAGGAATATTAACCATTCTTCTATGTTCACAATAGAAGCTCTATTTCTGAATTTAAAACACTACTCGATATTTGTTTAAGAATCACACTTAGACAATATGGCTTTTGACACTGAAGTTCTATGGAAAAAAACTAAGACAACTTTTAATTTTGCTTTCATATCAAACCAATAGAACAACTTAAAAATTCAAGAAGAGCATGGGTTAGTCTGATTCAAGAAGTGCTTCCAAATTTAATCACCTAGCTTCTTTTCAGGAGAAACTGTGCATCACCACAAACGTTTTCTAAATTAAATTCTAGAGAAAAAAATAGAAAACAACCCACAGCACAGTGGTTGTGGTAGATATTTCCTCTTCAGCATCAGGCAAAGCCTTCTTATGAGCCATTCTATTTCAACAGATGATTCAATTGGTCCTGTAGGTCTGATGACTGCTCAACACTAGAAATGAGAGAAAAAGTTATCTGGAATGAGCAATAAAGACATCTCTATGCTAATTACTTGTATTTTAATGTCTAAGTACTGTTGAAGCTAAATCAAAATGTATATTTGGTCTACTAGGGTCCCAGACGTTCTTAAACTATGAAGAAAAGGTTTGTAAAGCTAATTAGTAGTATAAAAATATTGAGAGGGACAGATTTAATCCACTAAAAAAAAAAACAAAACATAAAAGACAACAAGGCTGTTTAATAACTTTATTTTCTTTTTTTTTTGTTTAATAACTTTAGCACACTTACTCTACTTAATGATTATCACTAATGTAACTTTAGAAAATTTTTACTAGTAGTGCATGCCTCTGACTTACTGAATGCTTTTAAAATATACTGCATGCTTTATATCCCAAATGAGGTATCTCAGAGTGTATGTCAATTTAAGGGCATCTGTCAACCAGGGTTTTGTATTGATCCCAGGCCCAGCAGTATAATTCCCTCTAGCCTGCTTCAGTTGGCCAACCACTCCCCTACCCAGGGGGTTACTTACTTCTTCTGAATAGCTTCTTGCCTAAATCAGAAAAGAACAGAGGAAAATAAACATAAGAAAATTCAGTGAACTAGTAGAAATATTTATGGCCAGATATTTATTTAGGCAGAACACATTTTCAGCTTATGTCACATTCTTTAATTCTGTCCATTCTATCCTGTTTGTGTTACTGAACCCATTCACGATCTGAGTGCAGAGCTGCTGAAAAGATAGATTCTAGCCCTGGCCGGTTTGGCTCAGCGGTTACAGCATCGGCCCGAGGACCAATGAATCACGTGTTCAATTCTGGTCAAGGGCATGTACCTCGGTGGTGATTCGTCCCTGGCCCTGGTTGGAGTCGTGCAGGAGGCAGTCACTTGATGTGTCCCTTTCACGTTGATGTTTCTCTCTCTCCTTCCCACTCTATCTGAACAAAAATGGAAAAATGTCCTCAGGTGAGGATAAAAAAAGAAGATAGATTCTAAACCTAAAGAGGTAATATTCTATCACAGCATGTAGGATGTGGTCTAACAAACTACATGCATGACTCAAATTCAGTTCACAGAGTATGTGGAGTCAAGTGGTCACATACCTGATATGTACACACCCAAAGAATGAATATTTATTTATTTATTTATTTATTTATTTTTATCCTCACCCAAGGACATTTTTCCATTTTCTGTTCAGATAGAGTGGGAGGGAGAGAGAAAGAAAAAAACATCAATGTGAAAGGGACACATCGAGAAGCCTCCACCCACACGACCAACCAGGGCCAGGGACAAACTGCAACCGAAGTACATGCCCTTAGTGGAAACCAAACCTGGGTCTCTCTGGACCGCAGGTCGACACTCTAACCACTGAGCCAAACCAGCCAGGGCTAGCTATTTAAACATCAAGAGTTAAATTCCCAATTTCCAATAGGGGCATAAGTATAATATCAACTACATAAAATATATATAAAAAAAAAAAAAGAAATAAGATGAAAAGCTAATTAAAATATAATATTATCCAAAATTAAAATGGAGAAGGTGTCTTTACATTTCAAAATACCCTGGATGATTTACTCATAGCTAGGGCTGGGCATATGAAAATGTAGGATACAGGTCACAGTTACACTTGACTCCCCAGTGAAGGAGCAGACTCCCTGGAAGAAAGCTTGAGCATGGACAACAAATACTAATTAAGTGCCTACTGGGTGCCAAGCATGTGTTAGCATGGTCCTGGCATGGGCCCTGCCCTTATGGGGTTTACAGTCCCTTCCTCTGAGTAGCCCTCAAATTAACACAGAAAGGTTCACAAAAGGTGGTCCCTGCTCCTGACCTCCCCTGACCCCTAACTTCTTCAGTCTCGGGCATCTTTTCCAGAGGGAGCTCATCCTTGACCCACCCACCTATACTCCCAACTCTCAACAGGAAAAGAGCTAAAAGCACAAGGCAGGAAGCAGCAGCCCAAAGATGACAAGATTGTAGCAACAGTCAGCAGAAAGGGCATACTCACTGGTACTGAAGATGTGTGGTTATTATTGCCATTTTCCTCAAACTCTAATTTAAAAAAGAGAGAGAAATAAAATATTCCACTTCCCTGTAGCCACACAAACTATGTATAAATAAAACACAAATCATAAAAGAAATGGTTCCTTACATCTTCTGAGTGCAAAATGGCATCTTCCTGTAGTACCATGTTTCGAGCTGCCTGACCTAGCAGCTGGAAGACAAAAATAAAATGGTAATAATCAAAATTTCCAAACTTCTTGTAATCTCTCTGCAGCTGTTCTACCCCTGCCCTCTCTCTTCCCCACACAGTTGTAATGGGGTATTCAACTACAAACACTCTAAATGTAATTTTTGTTCATGCTAAAAATCCATTTCCCTGTCACTGTGGCAGCTCTGGCACGGGTTCGACATCTGTTGCAAAGGCCACTGCCTGAGAAACCCAGTGCTCCGTAACTGCAGAGCTTATTAGTCTAGTGCTGCGAGAAGTCTGCAAAAAAAAAACACGTTTGGCTCCACAAGCCCTTGAGAACCTAACTTTTGATTTTTTAAAGGCAAATTTGAGAGTTGGGGTGGTTTGAGAGAAGTGAGGGAGCAGGACTGAAAAGGATAGAAGGAATGCAGCTCTTTAGAAGTAGAATGAGAGCCTCAGAGAGGAGGGAAAAGCCTGGGAAGACGCTCAGGATTTAAAGTGAGAAACCACCACAGGAAGGATGGCAAGATGGGGGTAGGGAAGAGGAAAGAAAGGAGAAATGTGGAGGCAGATTTTAATGGGTTCACTGATCGCTGGGCTCTGAGCTCTGATTCAGTTGGGTGGCCTGTGGTCAAAGAGATGTGACTCAGCACTGAGAGGCAAGAAGAGATCGACAGAGGTTTCCGACCTCCTTTGCACCCTGATCCTGGCAGACATTGAGTCCAGCCATGTAAAGGGAGCTACTGTTATGTGTGTCCTACCAACCTTCCCTGTTCCCTTGGGTCAGAGAGATGCTAGTAAAAGGGGACCTGTGACCTCCAATTAACAAGGAACACGAACACTGCTACAGCCACCAGATTCCTTCCCTCGTGGCAATCTTTATTTATTTTTCTTTTTAATTTTTAAAATTAATAAATCTTGCCCAGCTATGAAAGGAAGTGGCAAAAAGATGTAAGCAGCCCTGGCCAGTTTGGCTCAGCAGTTAGAGCGTCGGCCTGCGGTCCAGAGAGACCCGGGTTCGGTTCCCGCTAAAGGCATGTACGTTGGTTGCGGTTTGTCCCCCGCCCTGGTTGGGTCGTGCGGGTGGCAACCACTCGATGTGTCCCTTTCACGTCAATGTTTCTCTCTTTCTCTCTCTCCCTCCCACTCTGAACAAAAAACAAAAATATGTCCTCGAGTGAGGATTAAAAAAAAAAAGATGTAAGCAAATATAAAAAAAGGAAATACAGTATGTGTTAAGTATCATGTAAGAGATTCAGTAAAAAGACAAACTTCAGGGCGCACTCTCCCTCCCGGGAGCATACCGGCGCCTTTCCCTTCCCCCCTTTCTTCCCTCTCAGGTGTACATCTCCGAAACTCACAGTCTTGCAACCAGGGAACAGTGGGCAGCGGCAGCTCATCCCAGGCTAACTAACCCCCTGAACCTCTCTCCAAGGCCCCCTTTTCTCTGATTTCTCAATGAGCCAAAGCAGCCCCGCCTAGGCTCATTTCTTTCCTATAACATTTCTAGAGAGCCAAAGCAGCCTTACTTAGGCTCTCCTGTTGCTTCTTCTATCCTAAGCCCTTCCTTGTTTCATTGCCCCCAGTTTTAATAAATGTACTCTCAAACTGCAAACAAACACAAAAAATACTGAACTCATCAGCTGATTTCCCAGTAGAAAGTTTGCAGGCCAGAGATTGACCCAAAATACTCAAAGTGATGAAAAGAGAAGGCCTACAATTAAGATTACTCAACCCAGCAAAGCTACCATTTAGAACTGAAGAGCAGATAGAGCTTTCCAAACAAGAAAAAGCTAAAGACGTGCATTGCCACCAAACCAGGGTCACAAGAAATGTTAAAGGGACTTCTTTCAGAAGAAGAAAAGCAAAAATATGAAGAATAAAAGGGGAATAACTACTTATCTATCAATTACTTTAAATGTAAATAGAGTAAATGCTCCCATCAAAAGACAGATGGAGGCTGAATGGATAAGAAAACAAGACCCTTAACAAATGCTGTCTACAAGAGAGTCACTTCAGAAAGAAAGACACACAGACTGAAAATAAAGGGATGGAAAAACGTTTCATGAAAATGAAACAACAACAACAAAAAAGCTAGAGAAGCAAGACAAAATATAGGCTTTAAAACAAAGGCTATAACCTCTTGTTATAGAGAAGGCCTTGGCCTGGTAGCTCAACTGGTTAGAGTGTCATCCTGATACTCCAAGGTTGCAGGTTCATTCCAAGTCAGGGCACATACAAGAAGCACCAATGAATACACAAATAACTGTAACAACAAATTGATGTTTCTCTCTCTCTCTAAAATCAATAAATTATAATAAATAAATAGCCCTGGCCATGGCTCAGTTGGGTTGGGCATCATCCCATGCACCGAAGGGTCACCAGTTCAATTTCTGGTGAGAGCACATGCCCAGGCTGTGGGTTCCATCCCCAGTGGGGGACATGCAGAAGGCAGCCAATCAATGTTTCCTTCTTACATTGACATTGATGTTTTTCTCTCTCCCTCCCTCCCTTCCACTCTCTCTCTCTAAAAAAAAAAAAAAAAAAAAAAAAAAAAAAAATCAGTGGAAAAATATCCTCGGGTAAGAAGTAACAACAACAAAAATATCCACCATCTAGCCACAAGTCATGGTCCAGTCTCTTTCAGTTAGCTTCAAATAAGGAGTGACCAGTCCTAATGTGAGTAAATAAAATCCACAGGTAACTCCCTAATTTTATTTCCACTAATAGCGTTCCTCTTTAACTTCATCTAACCCTGTACCAGAAGTGCTAAAGATAGCAAAATCACCTGCTTAGAATTTGCTATTTTTGCATCCCCTGATCATCTCCTAGGAGATGCATGTTGAACAATTAAGTGTCAAATTAGCCAAAAGTAATGAGTATAAAGTCAGGAGCCTGGGTGATCATCAGCCAGTCACTAACCAAATGCTAGTGTCACCATCAATCACAGTCTGTTTTCATAACAATAAAACACTTTCACTTTAAATCATGCCAACTTCCTTGTGTTATTTAAACAAGTCAGAGTAAAAATAAATACTCTATTGTTTTGAGGAAGCTTTCATAATGAAATTGAAGGTTCTACAGAAATATGTGCACTTGCACGTCTTGACATATAAATATAATTCTAAATTTGAAATAGGGTTAACAGAAAATACCAGTATTTATGGGGGGGAGGGTGATCCTATATAGGTTTTAATTTTGGGGACATTTTTAATTAAAAATGTATGAAACAGAATCTCTTTCTAAAAAAATCCTACAGATTAGCACTAAGAAGCAAATATGTTCTGTTTAGAATGGAAAGAATTTTGAAGGGAGAAAGCAGATTAAGAGATACTCAGACACCTGCAAGTTGTGAAAATCTAAATATAATTACTAAATTTTATAGTTCACTAAGAACATTTAAAAAGAGATAAAGGTTTTAAATACTATAGAGTGTTGTCTCCCTGGTCTCTCCACTCTTTGTAAATGTCAATTAATGTAAATAATGTAATAAATACTAAATCTTTTTTTTTAATCCTCACCCGAGGACATTTTTGCATTTATTTTCAGATAGAGCGGGAGGGGGAGAGAGAGGAGAGAGAGAGAGAGAAACATTGACACATAGACTGACCACCACTAACACGATCCCAACCGAGGCCGGGACAAACTGCAACTGAAGTACATGCCCTTGGCGGGAACTGAACCTGGGACTCTCTGGTCCACGGGCCCACGCTCTAACCGCTGAGCAAAACTGGCCAGGGCTAAATACTAAATCTTTTGACAAAATAGAATACCCACAAAAATGAGCATTTTTAGAATTTCAGTAACAAATGTAGTTCAGCAATGGAAATATTTTAACTGAATGGACAGAATCAGTCCTAACGTGTGTGTGTTCTTTTTCAGATTTGAAACTAGACTCATCAGTGATTAATTTTCCATTAGTTGGTGTAGAAATCTGGTTTCTTCATCATACCTGTCAGTAAAGATGAAGATTATTGCTCAAAAAGAATACATATTTCCAGTGTTTCTTTTAATAAAGCATGCTACTTGGAAAGCAATATAAAAAAATAAAGAAAATTAGCCCTGGCCAGTTTGGCTCAGCGGTTAGAGTGTCGGCCTGCGGTCCAGAGACCTGGGTTTGGATCCTGCTAAGAGCATGTACCTCGATTGCAGTTTGTCCCCGGCCCTGGTTGGGTCATGCGGGTGGCAACCACTCAATGTGTCCTTTCACAATGATGTTTCTCTCTCTCTCTCTTCCTCGCTCCCCCTCCCACTCTATCTGAACAAAAAAATGGAAAAAATGTCCTCGGGTGAGGATTAAAAAAATAAAGAAAATTATAAAATTATTTTCAAATTTTTAATCATAAAAAATGAAATATCTATATGACAAAGTTTTTTTTTTAAGGAAAAGAGAAAGAAAGAAAGAAAGAAAGAAAGAAAGAAAGAAAGAAAGAAAGAAAGAAAGAAAGAAAGAAAGAAAGAAAGAAAGAAAGAAAAGAAAGAAGAAAGAAAACCAAGAATGTGCCCAAAAAGACAAATCAGAAAAGAATAAATCCATAGACAGACGATGCACACAAGAGGAAGAAACCTGAGATGCTGAGGGCAAAACCATGCGGAATTTGGGGGACGAAAGGGGCAGAGACAACCAGAGAAACAAATGAGGAACTCGTTACTTCATTCATCTTCCTGCGACAATCGCCAATTTTTGAAGCATAATTTTCCATCGTCTCGTTTCTTTCTCCTTCTCTACCTCTAGTCCTCCCAACGACTACACATCCCAGAATGCAACACTTGCCCTCAGCGAACGAGCCTACAACTCCCAAGGTGCTACGCGACCCCCTTCCCACAGCTGAGAAAGGCCGGAGTACCCCGAGGTGTGAGATCCTGTGAGTGCACTACCAGCTCACCTCGGAGCTCCGGGAGCCTTTCAGCACCTGCTTAGTGAGGGCGATCACGTCAGTACCGCAGGTGTTCACCTTCTCTGTGAGAAGCCCCTTCACGGACTGACCGAATCGCGCCTGCGAATCTGGCGTCCCAGTCGCCATCACCGCAGCTAGTGAACGCCTCCGCACGGACGATGGCGAGTCGCCGGGGCCAAAAGAGCTGCAAAGCGGAAGGAAAGGAGGAAGCGTCCTTTTCCCTACCGTGGGAAACAAAAGGGATGCAGAGTGCCTAGCGGAGGTTAAGCTTGGCTAACTTTAAATTCATTTAAAATACTCAGTTGCTCACTGGTTGGTTTGGCTTAGCGGTTGGAGCGTTGGCCTGCGAGTCAGAGAGTTCTGGGTTCGGCCCCCGCTAGGGGCACGTACCAAAAAAAAAAAGGATGTAGAATACTTATTTGATACCTAGAAGAAGACAAATCCCGGGCAAACATCTCTGGAGAGAATGGAGGACAGTTTCAGTAAATCCATAGTTTAAAATTAGAAGGGCCTGATTACAATCCCAATTGTGCCATTGGTGTGACTGCAAATTATTCAACCTCTGCGTCTTGTGTTCCTAGTGTAAAATAAAAATAATGATGTTAAAGTCTCCAAAGGGTAATGAGAATAAATTAAGGTAATTCAGTTCTATTTTAACAAACATTTCATGAATGAAATACCAAACATTGCTGGGCTGAGGATGGAGAAAGAACTAAGATACAGTCCTTGTCTCCAAGGAGCTCCCAGGCTGATGAGGCCTGTAAACAGAGGAACTAAGAAAAACAACCCAATAGAGAAATTGGCAAAGTTTACAAACAGGCAGTTTTTTACTTTTTAAAATTTTTTCTTTATTGATTTTAGAGAGAAAGCGGGGGAGAGAGAGAGAGAAACCTCAATGGGAGAGACCATCGATTGGCTGCCTCATGCATGCCCCCAATTGAGGATCTGGCCCACGGCCTAGGCATGTGCCTTGACCAAGAATTGAACCAGCAACCTCTTGATGCGTGGATAGATACTCAGCTACTGAGCCACACTGGCCAGGCCAAACAGGCAATTTTTAAAAATGTAAATGGCCAATGAATGTAAAAAATTCTCAACACCACTAGTAATTTGTTAATGATAAATTCCCTCTTTGTTCTGTTAAAAGCAAACTGATTATTACCTTGGAAAATAGCATCTGAAATGTTTCATGTAGCTCTGTTTCTTTTTTTAGCTAATGCACAAGAGAGGTGAGAATGGCATATTGCAAATTTTGTTTAAAATCACGTTTACTCAGTATCAACATTACTTTTTCTTCCAAATGCCTAGATTCATTTCTCTGTTCATTCTTTCATTTAACTCTTGTTCTTAATCAACTTTATTAAGGTGTGAAATACGTGCAATGACTACATTTTTTTTCATCCTCACCCGAGGACATTTTTTTTTCTATTATTTTGTTCAGATAGAGTGGGAGGGAGAGAGAGAGAGACAAACATCGACATGAAAGGGACACATCGAATGGTTGCCTCCCACAAGACCCAACCAGGGCCAGGGACAAACTGCAGCCAAGGTACATGCCCTTAGCGGGAACTGAACCCAGGTCTCTCTGGACTGCAGGCAGATGCTCTAACCACTGAGCAACTGGCCAGGGCATGACTACATTTTTTAAAGTGTACAATTTGAGGAGTGTGACAGTATATAACACCTGTGCATCACCATCATTATTAAGATACAGAACATTTTATCACTCCCAGAAGTTTCCAAGTGCCCTTTGTAGTCCACCTGTCCCTTCTCCAGGCAACAACTGGTCTGCTTTCTTGCCTATAGATTAATTTGCATTTCTAGAATGTTATATAAATGGAATCATACAGGAAATACTTTTGTGTGTGTGGCTTCTTTCTCAGAATAATGATTTTGTTGTGTGTATCACTGATATGTTCCTTTTTATTGATGAGAAATATTCCATTGTTTGGATATACTTCATATTGTTAACCCACTCACTTGTTGATGGATATTTGGGTTGTTTCCCCATTTGGGGCTATTATGAATAAAGCTGCTATGAACATCTATATACAAGTCTTTATGTGAGTTGTTTTCATTTATCTTGAATAATATCTAGGAATGGGTCATGTGGTAGGTGTTTAACTTTTCAAAAACTGTCAAACCATTTCCCAAAATTGTTTATCATTTTACATTCCCAACAGTGGTGCAGACAACTCCAGTTGCTGCACACCCATAAACTTAGAAAAGATTGATTGTTGTACGGTCGTGGTAACAAGTAGCAAATTGTTTGCAGATTGTCCACGGACAGCTGGCTTCCATAATCCCCATCTCCTGGTTTTCAAGCCCTTATGTGGTCCCCTTCTCTTACTTGTGGGAAGAAACTGTGACTTGCTTCTAAATAATAGTATATACATGGTGATGGGAGATACATAATTATGTGTACACAATTGTGTGATTACATTACAAAAGATTGTAAGGCCTATTCTGCTGGAGTCCTCCTTATTGGCTGTGAGTAAGCAAATGGCCATGTTGGAGATTCCGTGTAGCAAGGAACCACAGCACCATCTAGTCATTGAGGGCTGAGATTTGTCCCAAGTACCAGGAGGTCACGATTTGATTCTGGTCAGGGCATAACTGGGTTGCAGGCTCGACCTCCAGTAGGGGGCATGCAGGAAGCTGTGGATCTATGTTTCTCATCCATGTTTCTATCTCCCTCTCCCTCAAATAAAAATTTAAGAACATTATAAATTAATAAATAAATAAAATCTGTTCAATCAATGACAACTCACCTCAGTGAATCCTTTCTACAAATCAAGCAATCTGCCCCTCACTTCTTGTATAGATGCTGATGTAAAAAAAAATAATCCATCTTTGTATCCCAGAGTTTTCATGCTATCACTTTTGATCAACATTAATGTCCTTAGTAAAGCATTCCCAAGCCTTCTAGTTGATTACATATTCCTTAAACTGTAGCTATAAATACATTTTTAAAAATATGTTTTTATGATTTTTTTAGAGAGGGACATCCATGTGAGAAACATCCATCAGCTGATTCCTGCACGCCCCCTACTGGGGATTGAGCCTGCAATCCAGGCCTGTGCCCTGACCAGGAATGGAACCAGGATCTCTCAGTCCATGGGACAATACTCAGTCCACTGAACCACACCAGCAGCGCTATCCATAAATACTTTTGTTAATCATGGCTGAGATAGAATGACAACCAAGATAAATATCAAACTGGTCATAGTATCCATTATAAACAATCATCTTTCACAAGACTATCTGGAGATATGGTCCCTGGCCTGTACTGCATTCTTTGTCTTATCAATCATTAGTACTTATGAGTTATCTTAAAAACTAAAAAGCCCAGCTGGTGTGGCTCAGTGGTTGAGCACCAACCCATGCACCAAGAGGTTCTTGGTTCAATTCCCAGTCAGGACACATGCCCAGGCTGTGGGCCAAATCCCCAGTGGAGGGCATGCAGGAGGCGGCCAATCGTAGTTCTCTCTCATTAATGTTTCTCTCTCTCTCCCTCTCTCTCTAAACTCAACAAAGGAAAAAAAAATTTTTTCAAGTACTGTAACAGGGGTCTGTTATCAGAGAATAATTTGCAGAGAACTGCTAGGTCATCTATCTAATCCAAATCTACATTCCTGTAAGTAAATCATAATGAATTCTTTTTTATTTATTTATTTATTTATTTATTTATTTATTTATTTATTATCTTCACCCGAGGACATTTTTCCATTTTCTATCCAGACAGAGCGGGAAGGAGAGAGAGGAAGGGAGAGAAAGAAACATCGATGTGAAAGGGACACATTGAGTGGCTGCCACCCACACAACCCAACCAGGGCTGGGGACAAACTGCAGCCAAGGTACATGCCCTTAGTGGGAACCAAACCCGGGGCTCTGTGGACTGCAGGCTGATGCTTTAACTGCTGAGCCAAACTGGCCAGGGCAATGAATTCTTTTGTATTCTATGGAGTTGCCTGTTTTGTTTGTTGGTCTTATGATACTACTTCTTGCTACGGTGGCCAGTACACCTTTGCCCCACCATCAGACACTTCTGTAAGTCAGTCATTCAGAGACAGATTCATGTCAATAATCACCTCTTACAGTGCCAATCAATCAACAATTGCCTCCCCAAAATAATGTCACTTCTACTGATGTTATCAACCTGCCTATGTCCATCAATCCCTGGAACCAAACACTCAATTATGATCAGCAGTCTACTCTGCTTGGATAGACTGCCTGTTCTTGTTTATTATACTAAACAATTCAGTTTTGTCTTTTTATTTTATATATTGAGTTGTAGTCTTATCACCTTTTGACAGTTCTAGAGGTTCCACCAAGATCATTTTGAAGACCCTCACTTGGCAGCATTCCTGGGACCTCAGATCAACAGGTGCACTCACTGAACCTCTTGTGCCCACACTCTGTCCTTCAGATCACAAGCCACATGAATCAGTCTCAACCAAAATTTGAATTTGAACTAGTTCTGTTGAGTTCTTGTTGCTAAGTTTGTTATCCAATTACATGTAACCAAAATTATCTTTGTATAAGGTCATTAGACTCAGGTCTTTATATAAGGTAATTAATATACAAAGGATCTTTGTATTAAGCCATTAGAACTTTGGGTTTGGAAATGCAGCAATTAGTTATTAATTTTAGGTCTTTGTATAAGATTATTAGATCTTTCGTTTGGTGTTATATTGTTTGATGAATATTTTTGCCATTAACAGGATTATTCTCCTGCAGCTTGCCTTGATTTTGCTGTTGCTTGACTCTATATACAAAGTTCACTTTCAAGAACTTCTGCTTTTTCTAGTTTTTTTCCTAATGTGTCACGTAGGGAAGAGATGGAGTCATAGGCATGATAGTCTATAACCCATTCCAAGCTGGCCCTTGAGGGTTCATGGTTGAGGTCTATTAGACTGAAGACTGGCTAATGTTACCACAAGTAGTAAATCCTTTTGCTAACAGAAACTACCCACATTTTTCTGTTAGTTGATTAACTAATTATGAATTATTGTTACTTTCTTCCTCTCATATTATCATCTACTGGTGTCACTTTCTTAAACCAGAAGCTCTATAACCTTTACTTAATGTAGGAGAATCCTGAGATTGTGTTTCTAGAATTCAAGGAGTGTCTATGACCAGAACAGAACTTTTGGACATGCCAATTCTAAATCTTGATGCAGTATTGTTTGTTGATTGACCTCTTAGTAAATATAAAAAAGTGACAGTACCGAGCTTGATTTGGGAACCCAGTTACTCTTATAAAATTCAATTTCTTACCAGAAGTTGTTCAAATGACTGAACTGTGGCTTTTCTAGGGCATATCAAATCACTCAAATAAAAGAGTAGATATGTAATCTAATATCTGGTATGTCTTAAAATAATTAACTTCTTTAAAAATTTTATTTATTGATTGATTTTAGAGAGAGAGGAAGGGAGAGGGAGAAGGAGATAGAAGTATGGGTCAGGCCCACAACCTGGGCATGTGTCCTGACCGGGAATCGAACTGGTGACCTCTTGGTACATAGTTCGACTCTCACCCGCTGAGCCACACGGGCCAGGCAAAATAATTAACTT